TTAAAAATCTGAATCTGAAATATTTTTTGTTTCTTTCATTTTATGATATTTTCAAGTCATATGTGGTACCGGAGTAACATGGAATAAATGTGAATAGTCAGCCTGTTCGTATGTTGTTGCTTTGTGTATGATCCAGTGAGCTGAATAAAATACCAACCAACAAAATTAAATACAATAGTTTGTTGGTTTCCATTCGGGAATTCGGCCAAAAAAATCACGAACTTTACACGAATTGCCAAATAAAACCTGAACTCGAAGCTGACCAAAAAAATACTGTACTTTCTTTGACTTTTTAATTTTATTTGAGAACTTATCATTGACTTGCCATTTTAACACACCGTGATCTTACAGTGTAGACGCCGTTATTTTGACGTTAAAAATCGACGTTAAGTGAAACGACGTCGTTTTGTGTGTTTTTAAAACAAAAAATAAACGAAAAATATGTCTATCTCAGGATTCGCACTCGAGATCTCAAAGCCAAACAACATGGTCTTTTGCCACCGAGCTAACGACACTTCTGATGAATCTCTAACATATTTTTTTTTATTGAGTATCCAAAAAATCTTTAAAAACCTTAAAATTTTACAAAATTCAAAAAATCAATAAAAACTCTAAAAATATTAAAATAAAAAATTAAATTACAATTTTTTTTTACTTTTCGCTAAAATTAATTAAAAAATTCATAAAAATAAAAAAATCCAAAAATACGAAAAGACTAATGATTAAAAAATGACAAAAAACTAATGATTAAAATAATTTAAAAAATATTTTTTTTATAAAAATTAATGTATCTAAGATCATTTGTGTATTTGATCTTACATACATTAATCATACGAAAATATAGTGTGATAAATATAATTTTGTATATTATCTTGCATGCATTCATTTACATAAGAGAAAATTAATTTAAGCATTAATTTTAATTTTTTAGATTTTTTATTTTTTAATTTGTTGGACGTTTTTGGTTTTTTATAAATTAATATATTTGAGATGAAACAAAAAAATGATATTTATCACACTATATGTTTTAGTAAAATTTTTGTTTACTAAAAAAAATAAAAAAAATGTTTTTAAGATATGATAACAAAGGAACATACACCAAAAACTACAATTTTTTTTATTTAATTATTATCTAGTAATGTATAGAAATCTTTATTTTTGTTGTATGTTCATTCAATATCATATTTTAGCAAAACACTTTATGATAATATCATTTGTTTATTTTATCTTAATTATCATTACTATTTTATCTTAAATACATTATTCATACTAAAATATATAGTGTGATATCATTTTTTATTTTAACTTACGTACATTAATCGATATAAAAATAGGTTTCAAGTTTTTTAATCATTAAATCTAATTCGTTGCATATCTTTAAATTATTTTAGATTTTTGAAAAATTTTAATGTTTTGATTTTTTAAACAAAAAAATTATTTGCTATTTCAATTTTAATTTTACCTTTTTAGAATTTTCTTGAATTTTTAAGATTTTTTTGGAAGTTTTAAAAAGGAATTTAGATTTTTCAAGATTTTTTTGATACTCAATAAAACAATACATGTTAGTGATTTTATTAAAAGTGTCAGTAGCATAGTGGCAAGAAACCTCGAAATTTGGCCAAGAGTTCTTGGGTTCGACTTACACAATTGACATGTTTTTATAATAAAAATAGACAAAACGACGTCGTTTTATCCCATCTCAAAACGACGTCGTTTTACCTAACGGATCTTAACAAACGGTGTTCAATCATTCTGTCAAATTTACTAACGGCGTGTTTAATTGGCGAGTCAGCGACAACTTACTGATTAAAATTTAAATGTCAAATATTGTTCAGTGTTTTTTTGGCCAGCCAATATGTTTGTGTTTGTTTTGGCAATTCATGTAAAGTTGGAGCTTTTTTTGGCCGAATTCTCGTTTCCATTCTCATTTTTGTTCGTATTGTTGTTGTTTGTCTATACATAACGTTACATCTTTTATGGTGTTCATTCTACATTTTGTTATACTATACATTTTATTTCACATTTACTATGTTTTTGCTTTTATTTCTATACTATGATTTTTGTTTTTGTTTTTATATTGTGTTTTGTTTCTATTTTTATGCTATGTTTTTGTTTCTGTTTCTGTTTTTGCTCTGTTTTTTGTTGTTTTATTGATCCAATAGTGAAGAATAACGACGACGGACCGGAAGAAGCGTCGTTGTGTTGGAAAAAAAGAGGAGACAAAGATGTTCTTTATATGGTGGTGAAGAATAACAACGGTGAACGAAGTAAAGGTGTATCAGCACGTTTGAAACAAAAAAGAATTGAAGAAAATGAACCCGCCGTCTATACTATATTCGGTGAACGAAATAATATAGTATATATTCTTTAGTGTAGCTATTTATGTAAGATTGCCATACTATTTAGTAAATATTTCTTAAAATGTAATAATCTGGTGACTGTAAATATTTCTCAGCAAGGGGAAATTGTTTATATCTTGGATGTGGGTTGACATTTCCGAGTTAAGGTATAGTTTTATCATTTGGGTTGAGTTTCACTAACTCACCCTTGTTACTCTGTTACTTGTATTAGTGATATGACCCTATCTATGTCGATATGTCAGTTTATTTTATTCAATAATATAATAATACAACATCCATATAACCTTGCCACTCAAGTCCCCTAAATTATTGAACGAGAACACTCTAAAAGTAGTATACTATATTTGCCATGCAGTATAGTGTTATGAACGTGGTGAGTGTCATTATTTAAAAACAGGGGAAACTTTTTATATCTTAGATGTGGGTTGACATTTTCAGGTTAGGGTTTAGTGTTATCATCTGGGTGAGGGTTTCACTAATTCACCCTCGTTTCTCCATTACTTGTATTAGTGATATGAACTCATCCATGTCGTAGTGTCAGTCTGTTGCTATTGGAGGTGTGGGTTGAGGTTTGGGTTTAGTGATCATATCATCGTTATATTTGACGATTATTAAAGAGCGTTCTATTTTTTTCACTAATATGTATTATACTATGTATTTTGTTTCATTCTATTTGGGTTTAAGGTTTATGCTTGGGTTTAGGATTTAGTGATTAAGATTTAGGGTTTAGTATTTGAAAGGTGGGGTTAAGGTTTGGGTTTAGTGATAGCAGTTTAGGATTTAGTTTTTAAAATAAAGATTAAGAGTGGGATATATCTAGTAATTAGAGGTTTATATATGGAGTTATAATTCTATACTGCAACGATGATATGGAATGCAACATCGAGTGTATACTATATGTTTATCAACACTAATATAAGTTTCATACTATTTAACACTAACATAATTTTATACTATATGTAATAAGTATGTGGTAGATATGTGTGTAATGTGCCTTTCATAATGTGAAAGAAATTATAATTAAACATGTATCTTTCTCTCCATGCAACCTGCAACTTGTAATTAGGGATAAAACTGAACTTTAGTTCGGCTAATTGTCAGCAAATGAATCTTACATGTGCACGTGGATCATTTGCCTCTGATCCAAAACAAGTGTTGACTGGATACTTCTAACGTCAGAGTCTATGGATTTTGGGAGATTTTCTCAGCGTCTGGGAGGAGTAATGGGGTATTGAAGTGAAAGTCGTACGTTGGACTTCTAAAGTAGAAGTTAAGGGATTCGTCAAAGTGCTCGTCTAAGTTATATTTATAGTTTGAACTATATAACTGCTTTAAAACTTATAATCTCTCTTACGTTTGAATGAATACGAGAATCTAAACTATTTTAAATATATATATATATATGTATATATATATATATATTAAATGACTTGTTTATATTCATATATCCTAGCTCATAGTTTTGTATCGAGCAATCCACCACCAGCTAAGTCCAACCAACGTTCCTTTGTTCATTTTTTTCCAAAAAAATGGAAAGTCCCCTTTTAACCGCGTAGGATTCTTAGTGCTTGCATAATCAAAATGTAGAAATAAATTATAAATCCAAATTTGAAAACAAGAAACACAAAACCAACTAGGTCAAAAGGTTTTTTGATCTAAGAAACATGTGGCGTATGTGATCCTAGGTTGTTTATAGTATTAGTTCAGTCCTTCCATTCGATTTGTCACGTCTCCCTATTTCTCTATCTTTTCTCATACACTACAGCTTATAGACACAATATATGTTGTCAATATTGTATATACATATTAATATCTTTTGTGGTTACTGTTGCTCAATTTTTTTTTTATATTCAATAGAAAGGTAATGAAATCAAAGTCTATCAAAAACTTTTGCTCAAAGATAAGCTTCATTTAAAGCTTTTATTTCACTTTTTCATTTTAGAAAAATCATAAAGTCGCATTTATTTGGAACTCTCTCTATGTATTTATTAGTAATATATGGGAATTGTTGATTTTTTTTTTTAAATAAGTTGTTGATTTTTTTAAAAATAGGAAATAGTTAGCTCATACTTGTAATCGATCAATGCAAGTCCAACCAACGTTCCTTTGTTCATATTTTTTTTGCAAGAAATGGAAAGTCCCCTTATGACCGCCTAGGATTTTAGTGCATGCAAATTGTAGAAATTCATTACAAATCTGAAAATAGGAACACAAAACCATCAAACAAAAACCCAAATAGCATAAAAGGTTTTTGATCTGTTGAGAAGAAACACGTGGCATGATATTAGCACCTTAAATTGGAGAGTACTCTAATTGCACTATAGACATTAACCATAATCTTAAATGTGGATGTGGATCAAATTAATTTCCTTCCCTTTGTTAAAGCAGGATGATGTGACACATGATCGACCTTGTACATACGCAACTAATGTGTAGTATAAATTAACTTCAGAAGAGGGTTTAAGCTTCTATATTGATCCATTTCCATCTCTATCTCTATCTTTCTCTGCTTTCCTCGTCCGATCAAAATTTTCTAATATGAGTGATAATATCACGACGTCTTTGATGTTCTTGTCAAACAATTCTCCTCTTCCCGACGTTATATCACGCTGCTGGCGCTCTGGCATTGCATCCATTGCTATGACAAACCGCCGTTTGAGAGCTATTGTTAAAGAGGTGGAGATCACTACGTGTAGGAAACGGCTTGGTCTTGTTGAAGATTGGTTCTTCGTCTTTGAAAAAGACGGCGTGTGGCGCGCCTTTGATCCATACAACAAGGTGTGGCACAATGTTCCACTGATGCCAGAGCCACCGTCTTGGTTACGCCCCCCTGGAGGGTTGCCCTATCACGAGATTATGTGCGTAGGATCGGAGCTTCTAGTTTGTGGCGAATATCCTCGTGTGGATGCCATGTACAAGTTCCAGGCGCTCACCGGCACATGGAGCTTAGTGGCGGGGATGACAAATCAACCAGCTTTTGGTCACGCATGGGCAGTTCACGACGACAATATCTTCGTAGCGGGAGGTTGTGACGCGGACAGAATAACATTAAACTCCGCTCACGTGTATAGCTCGGTGACTGGCCTTTGGAGTCCGATTCCTCCAATGACTCAGCCTCGGATGTGTTGCAAAGGTCATTTACCTTTGTTCCTCTTGCTTTTGAATTTGTTTTTGGGTTGCCTGCTAAAAACTACCCATACTTAACGAATCCAACTTAATTCCCCCATACTATTACCTTCTTCATTACACTCCCCAAACTTTGTTAATAATATTTGAACGCAAGTTTAGTGATTCTATTTAATTTGTGGAGTTAGTATAAGTAGTTTGGGTGGGTCAGTGAGTAAAGTTTTAACTACGAGGGTAATTAGGGATGGTTTAGCAGTCAACCCTTTAAAAATATATCTATTTAAAGTTTTAAACGGAATCAACACGTATATAATATGTCGTTAACTAAACTAGGGAGAATTATATCTTATGCCTCTTTCTCATAACCATGCATAGTTTTGAGTTTTAAATATCTTGAACCCAATTTTAAACTCAAAACTGCATGTATTTTTTGTTTTGGTAGGCGCTTTCATGGACGGTAATTTTTATGTTGTTGGAGGCAAAATAAGTCATCATGACGAGCTGCAAATGAAAATCGCTGAGGTCTATGACCCCCACACCAACACTTGGTCACTGATTCATGACTTCCTAACAGATGAAATGGTCAGTGATTCATATGCCATTACCGTCGTCAACCAAGAGATGTATCATGCTAGCTTTGGTGGTGAATTTGGTTTTATTCACAAGTATAGCCGAAGGAGTGTTGAATGGCTTTACATGGGGTGCTTTCCCTGGAATTCTTTACCAAAGGCAGAGGCCTATCACATGGCTGCTTATAGGCCAGTAAGGGAGAAGCCCTTCGAGCACCTGGTCCTCATGCTGTGGCGATTCGAGAAATCTGAAATGAAGAGGTACGTTGATGTTTATGCCTCTACTCCAAAACCAGTGTTGAACTGGATACTTCTAACGTCAGAGTCTATGGATTTTGGGAGATTTTCTCAGCGTCTGGGAGGAGTAATGGGGTATTGAGTTGAAAGTCGTACGTTGGACTTCTAAAGTAGAAGTTAAGGGATTCGTCAAAGGGCTCTTCTAAGTTATATTTATAATTTGAACTATATATGTTGTTGCTGCTTTAAACTTTTATTCTAATGTGTGATGATAACTCTCTAATCTATATTACCTTTAATTTAAATGAATATGAGAATCTAAACTATTTTAAATAAATATATATATTAAATGACTTGTTTATATTCATACATCCTAGCTCATAGTTTTGAATCGAGCAATCCACCACCATAAGTCCAACGTTGTTTGTTACTTTGTTCATGTTATTTTTCAAAACAAATGGAAACGCCACTTATAACCGCGTAGGATTATAATCGGTTAACTGAACTGGACGGTAACCAAAAAAAAAATACAATCCCATACATGATACAATAATCCTTGTTTAAGGCTAACGAGTAACGACCACACGACTTAAATGTGGCACCAACAGAAATATGATTAGACGAAGAAGTTCTAGAATGACTAGGTTAAAAATAGACTCGGCCAATATATGTATTAGTATTAGTTAACTCCCTCCATCTACTACAATTTTGATTCCAATACATTATATACATACATATAATATAACATTTATTTAGAACTCTCTCTATGTATTTATTTGTAATATATGAGAGTTCTTGAATTTTTAAAAATAGGAAATTCTCAGCTCAAAGTTTAATCGATCAATGCACTACCAGCTTAGTTCAACCAACGTTCTCTTGTTCATGTTTTGTTCAAAAAATGGAAAGTACCCTTATAACCGCGTAGGATTTTTAGTGCATGCATAATCAAAATGAAGAAATAAATTATAAATCCAAACTCGAAAATAAGTAACACAACCAACTAGCACAAAAGGTTTTCTGATCTAAGAAACATGTGGCGTATGTGATCCTAGAATGTTTATAGTATTAGTTAAATCCCTCTATTCGATTTGTCACGTCTCCCTATTTCTCTTACTTTTCTCATATAGTCTACAACTTATAGACACAATATATGTTTTACAAATATATGTACATATCAATATCTTTTGTGGTTACCTCTGCTCAACTTTTTTTTTTGTTTTCAATAGAAAGATAATGAGCTCAAAGTCTATGAAAAACTTATGCTCAAAGATTAAATACAACCAGTACGTTATATCTTTACCATTTTGAAAAACATATGCTCAATGAATACATATAAAGTCACGTCTTCCCATTTCTCTTGTACATCGTTTCTTATCTACTACAATTTAGACACAATATATGATATATACATATAAAATCACATTTATTTGGAACTCTCTCAATGTATTTATTAGTAATATATGGGACTTGTTAAATTTTTTAAAATAGGAAATACTTAGCTCATAGTTGTAATGGATCAATGCAAGTCCAACCAAACGTTTCTTTCTTCGTATTTTCTGAAAGTGGAAAATGGAAGGCTATGTGTATAAATCCTCTCAAGCAAACGTCCAATTTGTAAATCCTATAATTAATGTGTCTTGTTGATTTCTTTTCTAACTCTGTTAACAAATGTAAATGATTTTTTGGATTTTTTTTCAAGTGTGTAAATATGGCGTAATGTAATGTTCGTAATATATACGGTGTTTCAATAATAATATAAATAAACAAACTAAGCTAAGCATGTTCTATTACAATACAAAGATGACAAAGGTCATGAAGCTCTCTAAGGATATATAATATATTTAGAGTCGGTTTTAAAGTTTAATTTGTTGGAAGACGAAAATGATCCGTCTTAGCCTGAGAAAGAACCAGTAATTGCTAGAAGAAGCAGAGTGAGCAACATTGTACAATAAAAATGGTGTTCGCTCTGGTTTTTCTAACAGCAGCTTCTTTTCAAGCTAGGATGGAGAATTTTCGTCCTCCGCCAAATCAAAATTCCAAACCGACTCTGAATATATCTGTACATCGAAGGGTTTCTCAACCATACCAAACCAGGATCCGAAGAAGTCATCAGTGAATCAGTTCTTCCAATTCCTTATCTTTTGTGTTATGGGTCAACCTTGTTGTCCCCACGACCGTTTTCCTCCTGCGAAACATGACTAGTGGTTACGATATAATTCAGATGTTGCTTGTTCTAATATTAACCAATATATATAAGGCATGCCAATATAAAGCATGTTTTGTATTTTCAGTGTTTTCGGTTTATCAAAATATATTAATAATAATATATAACTTTGTGTTATCTTTGGTTTTAAGTTTGGTTGTTCTGATTTTAATGACAATGGACATCATTGTCCAAAAATAACATAAGACTGCATGCCAATCAAATCAAGTTGAACCAACTCAAATCTTAGTTGATTATCTAAACGAAGTAAAATCGAAAATTTCACATATATACTATGCTATGCTTTCCCAAGTGAGAAGTTATGTAGATATAAAATTATGTGTTATTAATTCATGACCTCAGGGCCCTCTTATATGTAACTCTTAGATTCATAGTTCTATCTACAAAAGGAGATTACATAATAAGGAAATATTTTATTCTAAGATTATTTCTTTTAAAATATGTTAATATCCCAATACCCCTCTCAATTTGGAACATACAAATTTTGTATGTTCAACTTGGAATTCAAGTCTACAAATTCATAGTGTGTTAGTTCTTTCATCAACATTATCAGTTCGCTGGATCATCGATTTTTTCTCATCAAATTCAGTTTTGTCGGATTAAGTTTGGTCTGGTTCGGTTTAGTCGGTTTGAGGTCGTTGTCTCATTGTTGTTGATCAAATAGAGAAGTTGGAGGTCGATATCATTCGTCGAGTAAAGGTTGTTGTTGTAAGAGTTCATGTCATTGTCGTTTTGAGAGTTTGAGAGTTCGAGTTTCAAGTGTTCCGAGTTTGCATGTGGAGATTGCAGAGTCATAAGTCAGAGGTTGTAGAATCGTTGGTTTGTAGAGTTGACATGAGGTCGTGTGTAGCCGAAGGTCATGAGATCAAAGTTGTTCATCACGTCGTCATCTGGATCGTCGTCTTCTTCAATTGTCATTACCATGATCAAACTCTTTTAACCACAAGAAATGCAAGTGCTAGTTTTAGTTCACAAAACCGTTATGGCTTATCATGAGAAGTTATGTAATCGATATAAAGTTTCGTGTTATTGATTCATGACCTCAAGGTTTTTCTTATATATAACTCTAAGATTCGTAGTCCTATGTAGAAAAAAATATATTACATAATAAAGAAATTTTCTATTCTAATACTATTTTGTTTATAATATGTTAATATCCAAATATCAAGCCAAACCAAAAAAAAATTGGGTTTCAATTCCCTTAAAGATGAAAATTTACAAAACTTTGTGAACATTTTAGTGTTAAGTATTGTTGAAACTTAGGAAGACACTTCTCATGATAACTCATGAGTTGTATAACAAGACACTTCATCAGTCCATCTCGAGATTCTTTCTCCAGATAACTTCATAAATACACCTCATAAGTCAATCCTGAAACACCTGACAAAAACATCATATGAAGCATATAAGAACGAGAATCTAGAGAGCATTTGTAACTTCTAAAAAAATTTCAACTACTATGTTAATAATAGTTGACTAGATAATAAAGAGCATAGTAGTTTTGTAAAATATCTACTAATTATTTATCTGAAACATAGAAAGGTAACAAACTTTTGAAAATAGTTGTGGTATAGAAGTTAAAACTAATAGTTCTAATTCTTTTATTGATTTTTCGAAGATAATATACTCAGCTTAATATTTTTTGGGCTTGTGTAATATCTTAAGCAAACGTCCATTTTGTAAATCCTATAATAAATGTGTTTTGTTGATTCTTTTCTAACTCTGTTGAAAAATGTAAATGATTCTTTTGATTTTTTTCCAAGTATGTAAATACCTTTCTGTGATGGCATAATGTTCGTAATATATACGATGTATCTACAATAGTATAAATAAACAAACTAAGCTAAGCTTGTTCTATCACAACACAAAGATGACAAAGGTCATGAAGCTCTCTATGGATATATAATATATTCATAGTCGGTTTGAAAGTTTGATTTGTTGGAAGACGAAAATGCTCCGTCTTAGCCTGAGAAAGAACCAGCTGCTAAAACAAGCAGAGTGAACACCATTGTACAATAAAAATGGTGTTCACTCTGGTTTTTCTAGCAGCTGCTTTTTCTCAGGCTAGGACGGAGCCTTTTCTCCCTCCACCAAATCAAATTTCCAAACCGACTCTGAATATATCTGTATACCGAAAGGTTTCTCAACCATACCAAACCAGGATCCGAAGAAATCATCAGTAATCAGTTCTTCCAATTCCCCATCTTTTGTCTTCCGGATCATTTGTCCCCACGGACTTTTTCCCCATGTGAAACATATCTAGTGGTTACGACATAACTCAGATGTTGCTTGTTCTAATAGTAACCACTATATATAAGACATGCCAATATAAAGCATGTTTTGTATTATCGTATTTTATGCTTATCAAAATATCTTAATAATAATATATAACATTGTGTTATCTTCGGTTTTAAGTTTGGTTGTTCTGATTTTACTGAAAACATCATTGTCAAAATATAACATAAGACTGCATGCCAATTAAATCAACTTGAACCAAATCAAATCTTAGTTGATTATCCAAACTAAGTAAAATTGAAACTTCAAATATATACCATGCTATCCTTTCCCAACTGATAAGTTATGTAATAGATATAAAATTTTGTGTTATTAATTCATGACCTCAAGGCCTTCTTATGTATACCTCTAAGATTCATAGTTCTATCTACAAAAAGGGATTACATAATAAGGAAATATTCTATTGTAATAATGTTTCTTTTAAAATATGTTAATATCCCAATACCCCTCTCAAGTATTTTGTATGTTCAACTTGAACTTCAAGTCATAAAATTCATATTGTGTTAATTTTTTCATCAACATTATCAGTTCGCTGGATCATCGATTTTGTTTCATCAAATTCAGTTTCGTCGAGTTCAGTTTTTTCTGGTTCGGTTTAGTCAGTTCGAGGTCGTTGTCTGATC